GGCTGAATTGCACAAAACGCATGATCGCACCGGCTAGCCTGGTGCGCGTTGCCATTTATTATTATTACATCATTGTTACTGTATTTATAACGTGAAGCTCCTTTAAAACATAATATCCACTACAGATATTTCGCATGAGAGCCTCACGAAGGAAATTCAAAATATTTTGCGCCTTTCGAAGGTCGCAAAGATTATAAACGAACCGTGGAAAGATAGAAGACGAATAATGAGAACAAAGTCGCTTATGCATTCGAACGCGACAACTCCAGCAGATGCCCCTTGTAACACAGCTTTTCCGTAACTTCATTCCAATTAACAGCATTATTTTTCCACGGCAAATCGTGGCCTTGTTTGCTGAAACTGAGCTCCAGTATACATGAAATTGGGAGCAAAAATCTGACCATCGCAGTCGCAGTATTTGCAAACTTACTACATAGCTCGGAAGTTATTGCGTCCTCTTTTCGCCTATTCATCGGCCTGATAAATAGGTTCGGGAAGAGAGATCGCCGAGTTCGTTATCTGATGGGTATAACACAGAGCGTTGATAAATGCTTGCAGTTCATCCATGCTCATGCAAGCTTCGCTAATCAAAACTGTATAGGCGAGTATCTTGTCAGTCCCCTGTAAAAAAAAGCTTGTAATGAGCAAAGCACTATTCTGGTCCAAACGAATCCCCACCTGCCAATACAAGGCGAAACGTGAAACAGCACTAAAAGCATACTTTGATTACTCTGTGCGACTGCATGAACATTTCAGTAACATCGGGACGCGTTACGGTGTGATCAATCCCAGTTCCCGGCAAACAGTTTTTCATCACACCTAAAAGAATTCCCTTCAATGTTCCCTCAAATGCAAAACACCGTTCTGCAAATTACTAGTTGCTCATACGTACATGCACTTCAGAATAAAGATTACACGTCTCATTGGAGATAAATGTGCAAATTTATGGAATTCTCAACCTCTTCACCAATCATTATCTCTCTCCCTCTCTACTGTCAAAACCTTGGAAATTTCAAAACGATATTCCAGAGAAAACTGTTCTGGCTTGCACAACAGATTCCTTGGCTCCGCTGAAAAACAAAGGAGGAACGGAGTGCTATAAAGAATATGGATGATAACGCCAGTAATTTCACAGGTCAGCTTGGGAGATAAATGGAAGCACATGCATTTTGAATCCCTCAAAAACCTCAGCAGCATCTCAGAGAAGCTATTGAAAATTAATAATTGGCCATCGCACGGGCTGCCCGTGCGAAGATGCGTTTTTTGCAGAGCTCCCCGCAATTTTTGTCGCTACCGGCATCGGTTTTTTCGGCAAATGCTTCAAGCAAAATAAATTAAGACTGGCTGCCAGAACTGGCAGGAAACACCCCCTTAAAATTTCAGCTTTCTAGTTTTCCTGGCTCCTGAGTTAGCAACTTACTGGAAGAAACTTTCATGGGCCGTATGTGGGTACCACGCATGCCCGATGTCTGGGTTTGAGCTCGTTGGGACTTACTTGGACGGGGAACATCTCCTTAAAATTACAGTGTTTTAGCTTTGCAGGTTCCCGAGTTATGAGCTTACCCGAGAAAAACTTTGGTGAACCCGTGCGTAAGTTTCAGCCCCTTAGTTTTCGTAGGCCTCAAGCACTTCTGGTTCCCGAATTAGCAGCTTACCTGTAAAAAACTTTGGCGAACTTTTACGCGGGTACCACGCAAGTAAGGCCGCCCATTTTGAGGATATTGGCCCAAACGTGCATGTAGACCAAGTTTTCAAAATTTCAGCCCCTTAATTTTCGCAGATCATGAGACGAAAAATCAGTGCAGAGACCCTGCGCACACATAGCCAACCTCACGCCAATATGCGTTTTCCGTATTTCATAGCTGCAAAAAACGCATAAAAATAAGTTATGAGCTGAAGCCATGCACGTGTGGGCCACTGTCCTCAAAAAAAAAGCCAAACTAAAGCCATTACAAACTTTTCAAAATTAAAAATGCTTCTGTTTTTTTCGAATTCAAAAAAAAAAAAAAACAAATTTCGCTTGCAGTGAAAGGCGGAAGTTGCTCACCACGCGAGCCTCGTCCATCGCTGCAGTCCGAATTCGTCCGACGGACTGCAGCGGATTCGTCCACTGCTGCAGTCCTAGACCTGCAACAACTACTGCAGTAGTCTTAACAAGCCGCACGTTAAAAGTGCGATTCAATGGCAACATGTCCTTTAAAAATAGTGGCGGCGCGCACTAGGGCATCCGGTACGGTCATGCGTAATGTGCAATTCCGTTCATCGAAGACATTACATGTATCTGGACAGAAAA